GTTTGCTCACATCTTCATCTTAGCATCTAACCGAACCACCGACTCTGGGTGGTCACTGGTGTGAAGCCTTTTTAAGGTCTCGGAAGATTCCCGCCTCTCAAGATGGCTTGTCCAATGAGAAAGGCTTGAAATCCCAAGCGGGCGGTTGCAACTGCTGGAGGGTTTTATGACCCTTTGTCTCTAAGCATGGTATTTCGCATATGTAATTCGCTTGGGTGTCGACGAAAGATTACTAAAAGTTCTTAGAACCGTAATATGTTGCATAGGTATAAACATACAGTATACACTCTCAATTAGATCATCCGAATATGAATTAATAGAGACCAAACACGGTATATGTAAGGTTACATGAATGAGTGGTTCTATCATAAGCATGAATAAAATAGTCTACAATACAACAGATAATATACAAGACGGCAATAATATACACCATGACCTGAAGAATATGTGTTCATTCAAAGAAAGGTTTTCCTATGAATTAGTTAGTAGAAAAGTCCACTTCTACTGTGCCTTGTGCCTCTTGCGATGGAACATGCAGTGATTTTCCCTGCTTCGCATTCCATTAGGTCGTAAATGTATCTGGTGTCAGGGTTGCCATGGTAACCAGGGTCCTGGGCCCTGTTCACAGACAACTTGGCACCCAGTATGTTTATTGGGTGAGGGGTCTGTGAACGTTTGTTAATCTAATGAATAATTGATTTGTTAAATCAAATGAAAAATGGTGTGTCTGATTGGTCCAGACGCTACACTAAATTTAACTACCTTATTAACTATTAATAAACAGCAAATTAGGAGTTTATTGAGAGAAAACGCTTAGTTAATAGTGAATATTGGTTTTCCATAATCGAAAGTGTTACAAATGTTGCATTCAGTTCAGTGCTTACACGGTTTTCTTCATTTAAAAAAATCCCAAATTATAAAATTGCCTTTGAAATTGACTAAATCTGATCAAACTATTTTTAATCTGTCAAAAGATTAAAGATTTCGTATTCAGAAATAGGGCTTTCATTTTGACACTGACCATCTGTATTATGTCCTAAGAGGTATTGTACTTCTGATATTCCAGTCATGAGAAGCCATAACCCACTGGCTTTCAACTTACTTTAATCTAAATCTGTTCCATCCCAAGGCCTCGTTTCAGACCTGCTGTCCCAATCTACCCATCTGTAATGTCCCTTCCCTTGGAGTAAAAAGGTTTTATCCCCTGCTTGGTGTTTGAACTTGACTTTAAGTCATAAAGAGTTGCCCCTCCACACACACAAACACACACACACACACACACACACACACACACACACACACACACACACACCCTTAAGCTATTAAAATAATAGCGTTTTAAAACAGAGAATGCTAACAAGAAGTGGCATGGTGATCTCCTCAGGTGCAATTTAGGACAGTTTCTAAACATCTACCTGGATTTCTCTTTCTCTCATCGCTCTCAGATATGGTGCAGGCTGGTCACAGCAGCATATAATTATTTCCATGTGACCAACTTCTTCTGGATGTTTGGAGAGGGCTGCTATCTGCACACAGCCATAGTACTGACATACTCCACCGACAAACTGAGGAAATGGATGTTTATCTGTATAGGCTGGTGTAAGTATCCCATGATGCACTACAATGGAAATTATCCAGGTTTTGGATCATGCATATTGAAAATAACTGACTTATGGCATGTGCAGTCACATGTACTTGAACATGTCACATGTATTGCTGATAAAGGATTATTCCACATCGAGTTCTTGTTTTTGTCCCTCATACCTGTGTAAAGATCTATGAATAGCTTATGATAGCTTAAAATAGATTTTTATATTTTTCTAAACACATTAACAAAAAATGCAGTAAGTTTATTACTGTATTTTAGTGTATTTTATTTTATGTTATTTTATTAACATATTAAAAATTGTATTTAGCTTGAGATTGGGAAATTGAAATTTATTAACACTTAAACACATTATATGCCTGATATAATTAAAATAATAATATAATATAATAACAATAATAAATCAATCAATCAATCAACTGGGAAAGGCACCTGTTTCATAGAATGGCATATTGTTTTATAGAATGTACTTTAAAGTTAGTGTGATACGCAGTACACAATCCATTTTACTTCCATAATCTGAAGTAATCTGTGTCATATAGGAAATGTAGGGATGGATTTATGACATCAGTGAAAGAGGAAAGTAATTTTGATTAATAATTAAGCAGACAAACATTTTGGGACACAGAACTGAGAAAGCAAATAAGGTCATTTCTGATTTCTTGTTGCCTTTAAAGTAAAGCCAGAGATTAAATTACTGTAAATTAATAACTTGAAAAAGAGTCACAGTTACAGTAGTAGATAATTACACTAATGAGGACTGCAATTTAATCAGGTTCTCTTCTGAATCATGGGCGAATTATTATTATGCGAATAAACAAGCCTTGGATTTTCCTCATTAAAAATGCATTGCAAATAAGTCATTGCTGAGGATTTATCACACAGTTCCTTAATAGTATCAATTATACTGTCTGTACAATGTCTTTGATTTTTTAAACTAATCTGTGTGGGTGGAAATTTCCTCTGCTTTTTTCTGCAGGTATTCCATTCCCCATTATCGTTGCATGGGCCATTGGCAAGCTGTACTATGACAATGAAAAGTAAGTTTCTCCCATGCTGAAGCTTTCTTCCATTTTCTTTCTTTTTTATCTCTGTATAATTCCTGCATTTTACTCTAAACACATGCAAACCGCCTCACCCCATTTACAATAAAAGCAATTAAAGGTTAGATTAACCCCAATTATCTGTCATCTACCCTCACTCTGGTCATTAAACAATCGATTCACGATAAAGCCAGAGAATTCATTCTGCACTCTTAGGCTAATTAACGCCTGCTACTCACAAAATGTATTAGTGGCACTGATGTAAACATCCTACAGTTCAATAGTCAAGACGTGATATATACAGTACAAGATCTCCTGTATAAAAATACTCTCTGTGATAAAAAAACATATACACTTATATTAGACACTTTAAAAGGATGGATTAGGGCAGATATTCTCCTCATTAGTTACTTTAGTCTCAGAATGGGAAACATAGCAAACAAACAAAGAATGAAAAATGTAAATGTATTTCTATTAAATGGGAGAGATGGATATATAATATTAATTGTCAAGGCTTGACATTTGTGCTTAAGCACATAAAATATGTACAACTAATACTAAGTATAACATTAATAAAATAACATTTAATAATGTATGTTTAATACCCTAATTGATTTTTTACATTTAAAGTGACATTACATAATGAAAAATTAGAGAGTGTGCGATAATTTGATAGATAGATGGATAGATGGATGGATGTGTGGATGGATGGCTAAAAGGGGACTTTTTTATTCTCCTTTGTCTGTGTATAGAGAATAAATGCCAAGTTCTGTCATGAAACTCTAGATGGCACAAGCTGATGGGTCCTTAACGCAAACTGATGATATTCACAGTGTTAAACTACTTGGCACAAGCTGATTGTTTCATGTTGCATATACAACCTGAGCTTGCTGCTTTACATTTAAATGGCTGGTTGGCATTCACTAGAGCATTTTGCAGCACGCTTTCACAGTTCCTCTGAAAACCTCTACCTTCCCCAGCTCCACCTGTATAGATCTGCTACGAGTTATTTTATATGCTATTTGTGCAGCAGCAGTATGTCTTAAATACTCACAGCACTGTATCAGCGTATGTTTTGGCAGTAGCAAGTTCCTGTACTTGTTTTGCAGCAGCAGCAGCAGCAGCAATAATCTACAACAGCAATAACCAACAGCAGCAGCAATTCAGGAGCGTAGCAGATCTGTTCGATCTGTTCCAAATACATTAACATTGTCATATCCATTACCATGCTAAAATCATCCGAGAGTTGTAATGATAGAACTAACATTGTCCAATTTGAACTTTATACTTGTGTGTGAATTGTTGTTAATTGGAGGCTCTGAAGTGCTAACAAACTAAACCGTTTCATTTCCTGGACAAGAGTAATTAAAGAGTCTCTGTTAACAGTCCTTAACACCTCTTTAATTCTCTTTCTCACTTACATCTGCTGTACACTGTAAAGCAGTGCTGCTCTACTGGTGCATTTGACCCAAAAATGGGTCACAGTTCTGCACAGCAAGGAAACAATGCAAAATAAAATAAAAAAAAATATAGCTGCAAGCAGCGATAATCGGGGTTCAAGCGGGGTTTAAGGCATTTAAGCACATATGAAAAAGACATTACATACTATTTGGCAAGCCTGTAACCACCTAAATCAATGATTTAAAAAATAATAATAAAAATAAAAAAACATTTTTGGCAAATCCAGGTAATTTACCATAGAAATATGATGATTTTTAACGTTTATGACTGTTATAGCGTCGTTTATGACTCTTAAAGCACCACCTGTGGTTCAATCGCCATAAAATTTTGCATGCTTGTTTAGAATCACCTGTTGCATGTGCTCACCTACAGTAGTTTTGTTTAGGCTTTATAGACTTTTGGGTATATTTAGACAGGCCCCTGTTCTAAACAACCCCATTATAGCTACCCAAAGAGTAAAGTAATTTATATATATATATATATATATATATAATTATTGACCTAGAGAGTCCAGCGAATTGTACTGCAGTGTTTTTTTTATTTTTTTTCGAGATTGAGTGAAAAACCTATGGCTAGTTTACAAAAGTTATTATACATATTCTCAATTATGTAGCAAACAATTTGATTGACATAAGTGGTTCTAGACGCAGAGTTGCTCGGAATGAGGAGGTCTATCAGATTATATGAATTTTGTTTGTATGTGTGAAAAACCATGCAATAAACAATCGTTTATGGCCTTGAAAAATGCGATATGGCCCCCCCAGTGACCGATTTCTTTCAAATTTCTTACAGACCTTTAGGGCAGTTGTTCCCAACTATATATATATATATATATATATACTGTATATATACACATGCAATAATAATACTCATATTTTTTGTATGCACATTTGACAGTAGCTTGAATTGACAGTTGTAGTAGCTTGAGTTAGGCTGCATATGTAAAATTATGTTAATTATAAAAAACAATAACATCTGTAAAATTGTAACAACCTCATTTTTATATAGTAAAATGTAATTATTCTGACTGTTTGAGTTTTATTAAAATTAACCATTGTTCTTTCATAGTAGCCTACATTTAGATCATGATAACCAGAGTTAAAACCACACATACAGCACCTCAATACCATAGTATTGCAACTATATGGTTTCTATGTATTTGTATGAAAAACAGTAGTCTAATTACATTTAGTATAAATGCACAAATGCTTAGCTTAATCAAAAAATACTGTAATTATATTCCATTACTCATTTGATATGTTTAATACATATCTACATTAATAATATAATTAGATATGAATATCCCACATTTCTGCCACAATACCATGGTGCCATTAGTGTACTACAGTAAATCCATGTTAACGCCTAAATGATAGTGATTTGTAGATTGAAAAGCCTTCTGACTGTCTCATTGCGCACAGTGTTCCTTCTGTTTGTCAGCATTGTTTCATCTGGTTTTAAACTAGTTTAAATCACTGAGTCGCAGTGGTTCCCAACCACAGGTGAGTCATGAGTCAAACAGGCCCACTGAGTTTAATTCCGATCGACCTCCGTTAACCTTGTCTGATAGGTGCTCAAATTTCATTGGGCAATGGTGGGCATGTTTTTTGATGTACGCAAATGTCCCTATAAGCACTTGTGGCACTTTGGAAAAAGACACGGCATACCAATTTTGAACCAATTATAATGGTTTTTATGTTTTTTCCCTCCTATAGTGCCACCAAGTGGCCAAGCTCTATGGTTTTTTCATGTGACCTCAGATTGAGCTCTTACATAAGTGTTCTGAGTTTGGCGAAGATATGTCATTCTGTTCAAAAGTTATAGCCATTTTAGTAAAAGTGGCTCTGCCCCTTTTGAACGTTTTGGCATCCCTCTGTGACGGTGAGTCGAAGGTTCAACTTTTTATATATATATAATTATTGATATTCACTCTCCAAAGAATCTTTGTGCACTGGTTTGGTTACGATAAGGTGAAAAACCTAGGACTAGTTCGCAAAAGTACGTTTTTCAAAAAATCCAAAATACATGAAAATTTCGCCAGGGTGAAGATCGAATCCGAGGCATGTGTTTTGTCTGTCGTGGGCCAAGGATTCCTAAGACATAAGGCACTTGAGCCTGCAACTAACGGTTTTGGAGTTATGAGCGATTTCATACTTTTGATTGCTGTAGCGTCCCCATCAGGCCGATTTGGACGAGCCTTGGTGACATTGTAGACAGTGTGAGTACTACCATGTCTCCAAGTTTCAAGTCTCTATGACTTACGGTCTGGTCTGCCCGATCAATTTTACGTGGAGATTGCTGATCCTTGGCCATTCTAACAATTACAATAGGGTTTCAGCACTACGCGCTTGAACCCCTAAATAAAATGCAACTAAGCATATTATAGTACACAAATTATTGTTTTGATGTTAATGTCAAAGGCTGTACATCAAGGTGGGTGCTAGGGTGTTTTGTTTTGAAAATGTATGTAATTTAAAGGCATAGTTCACCCAAAATGAAAATTCTGTCATAATTTACTGACCCACAAGTTGTTCCAAACCTGTATGAGTTTCATTCTTCTGCTGAATACAAAAGATCGGTTGAAGAATGTGAGGTAAACCAAACAGTTTCTGGTCCCCATTGACTTCCATAGTATTTTTTTTTCCATACTGTGAAAGACGATGGAGACCAACATTCTTTAAAATACCTTTTTTGTGTGTTCAACAGAAGAAAGAAACTCATGCAGGTTTGTGAGTGAGTAAAGGATGACAGAATTTTCAGTCATGACAGTTGGGTGAACAACTGTATCCCTTTAATAGAGACCAGCCAAATTAGCCTAGCCCTTACTAATTGACATTTGACAGGATGGACAGGTTGCATGGGACATTAAAGAAATATATACATGAGGTCGAAGAAAATATCATCCAGACCACATTAAATATGTGATAAATTATTTAAGTACTGTTGTAGATGGCGCTGGAAAAGCATTTTTAAAACATGCACATTTAAAAACATGTGCATGTTTTACCAGGATGAACCTGTGCATGTCTTTGGTTGAGCACCACAAATGACAGCATTTTGCCATTCAGACGTATCCCCAAACGCCACGTTTCTCTCTTCCTGTAAAACTGAAACACTCAGCCGAGACAGTCTTGATTATGCCGTGTACCCAACTGAAACTGTAAGATTAACCAATCTGGTGCATATCTTCCCAAGGGACACACTTGCCTTCTCTTCCTTGCTTTGTTTCTTTTTTATAGAGAGAAAAGCTTATTTTTAGATATTTTTCCAGTGGATCTTCTTTATTCACTTTACTAGACTTGCTTGTTTAATCATTGTGCTAGAATAATAAATAATTACCCCAAAATCCATTTATATTGTTACACGGATAAACAGTCATTCTGTATCTGAAGAAATGGGGTCAAAATATTATATATACTGTATAATAATTTTCTGGGCTTCGTGATGTGCATGTATAATCATTTTCTGTGCTTTGTGATCTTATTTTGTCTGTGCAGGTGCTGGTTTGGGAAGCGGGCCGGCATTTACACTGATTATATTTATCAGGGTCCCATGATCCTGGTCCTACTGGTGAGTCAGAACAGTTTTGGTTCTTACCCAATTACACAAACGTTTCAGGAGCATTTTTTATTTGTTTGGTGCTTCCCCTTTCATGAGTCTTATTATGTTTTCTGTGATTTATGTTTGTAATTTCATATTGATAATTCATGTCTGGCACTCAAGTGTGCAAAAATTTGTTTTATTCTCTCTTCCTCTCTCCATCTTTAGATTAACTTCATTTTTCTCTTCAACATTGTGAGGATACTGATGACTAAACTGAGGGCCTCCACCACCTCAGAGACCATTCAGTACAGGTGAGGCAGACTGTTCAGAACTGACAGATCCCAGAATAAAGTTTTCTCAGAGGTTGCTCGTTGTTAGCCCAGGAGACTTATTAGCAGGAACGCGAATTTTTGCCATTCAGAAAACTCAATAAATCCCCCCGCCACTTAAGTTTTTATTTCATTTTGGTTCATTTGACTATGTTAGCTACCAAATGAGTAGCTCTCAACAACACACACTACCATGCAAAAGTTTGAGGTTTGTATGACTTTAAAATGCTTTTTAAACAAGTCTTTTATGCTTACCAAGGCTGTATTTATTTGGTCAAAAAAGAAAAAAACAGTACTGTGAAAATACAGTGAAATATTATTACAATACAAAATTTCTGTTTTCTGTGTGTGTGTGTGTGCGTGCGTGCGTGCGTGCGTGTGTGTGTGTGTGTGATGCTTATATTCCCTCCAGCTATGACTAATGTCTTTGACAGTCACAGTCAGTGGCCCATAGCAAATGCAATACATACTGCTTAAACCAAATTCATCTCAATGTCATCCCATTGAACTCTTACTGTGATGTTATTCTGCGTAATGGTATTCAGGCACTACTGAGCTAAAAATACTAAATTAATCATATTTTTTTTTTACTTTTTTACTTTTTTTTTTTTTTGTATATCTCAATTCATGAACTGTATTTATTTGGTCAAAAAAGAAAAAAACAGTACTGTGAAAATACAGTGAAATATTATTACAATACAAAATTTCTGTTTTCTGTGTGTGTGTGTGTGCGTGCGTGCGTGCGTGCGTGTGTGTGTGTGTGTGATGCTTATATTCCCTCCAGCTATGACTAATGTCTTTGACAGTCACAGTCAGTGGCCCATAGCAAATGCAATACATACTGCTTAAACCAACTTCATCTCAATGTCATCCTGTTGAACTCTTTATGTATTAGCTACTGTGACATTATTTTGTGTAACTTTTTTTTTTTTTTACTTTTTTGTCTTATTTTATGGAATAAACTAAAGTTTGTTTGTTAAATGTGGTTTTAATTGGATGATGATTTTGTATGTTAAATATCTAATGAAATGCCTCATTTCATTTATTTATAAAATGGAATAAAATAAAATAAAAATATAATATAACTCATATACTCATTTAGAGTATGATTTAAAAAATATATACATGCAACACTTTTGTTTTTGCCCCCATTTTTCATGAGCTGAACTCAAAGATCTAAGACTTTTTCTATGTACACAAAAGGCCTATTTCTCTCAAATATTGTTCACAAATCTGTCTAAATCTGTGTTAGTGAGCACTTCTCCTTTACCGAGATAATCCATCCACCTCACAGGTGTGGCATATCAAGATGCTGATTAGACAGCATGATTATTGCACATGCAATATTGCATTATTGCAACTGCACATTGTGCAGTTTTATCACACAGCACAATGCCACAGATGTCGCAAGTTTTGAGGGAGCGTGCAATTGGCATGCTGACTGCAGGAATGTCCACCAGAGCTCTTGGCCGTGAACTGAATGTTAATTTCTCTACCATAAGCCGTCTCCAAAGGCATTTCAGAGAATTTGGCAGTACATCCAACCAGCCTCACAACCGCAGACCACGTGTAACCACAACAGCCCAGGACCTCCACATCCAGCATCTTCA